CTTATCAGGAGAGTTAGAGGGGAAAAAAGCAGCCTACAACATTAATGGAGCCAGAGTCTGGCTCATTCAGCAGGACACTACCTGAGAAGAGTCCTAAGATTAACGTCACACTATCTGTTGAATGAATTAATGTACCCAGGCAAGTATTTTATTATGCACACGGGGGAATCTGTGATAAAGAATATCATCAATTCATTCCATTTTCTAAATCAATTCTTTAAAAGCAACAAAGGCAATCACTGAGACTGGAAAGTAGGATAAACTTTGTGTTTTTGCACCATTATAGAAAAAAAATAGAAACATGCACCAAAAAAATATGGGGGGTGGGAATCTCCTTAAGGAAGTCATCCCTAAATTGCTTGGGCCTCACTCCCACTCCCTCCTGGAAGCACTTGGTGAGTCTCTTCTCAATGCATTTTCCTCCTGTAAAGTGAGGAGTTAGCCAGGCACAGTGGCACAAGCCTGACATTCCAGCAACTAGGGAGGCTGAGGCAGAAGGATTGCAAGTTCAAGGCCAGCCTGAGCAACTTTGTGATACCCTAAGCAACTTAGTGATATCCTGCCTTAAAATAAAAAGATCTGGGACTGTAACTTTTTGGTGAAATGCCCTGGGTTCAATTCCCAGTACCAGGGAGAAAAGAAAAGAAACCACATAAAGTGTGTGTGTGTGTGTGTGTGTGTGTGTGTGTGTGGTGTGTATGTGTCATAATAGTTCCTACATCAAAGCACTTTTGTAAAAGTTATATGTATTAATACACATAGAACCCTTCGAACTATTAACAGAAAATAGTGTGTATTCAATAAAAGCCAATGCTATTGTATCATCATGATTGCCACCATGCTGTCTTTGAAATGATTTTACTGTTAAGTTCTCCCATATAGAATGTAAAGATCTTTTGGGGAAGACCTTTTCATCTTTACAGACCTGGTCTTCTCCAGAGTGCCTGGCACAGAGGAGACATTCAATAAATGCATCTTGAATTAAGTTGAGTGATAACTTAGACTTCTACTAAATTTATCTGGGTTGCTGCTTCAGGTTTTCAATGGTTCCAACTCCTGAAGAGACAAAATCCAGAAAAGGAGACAAGGGCTATCACCTACTCCCTGCTGGTAGTCCAATAGACTGAAGACTGCCTGGGCCTTGTTGATATGACATTTGTGATATTTCACCATTAGAGATTATTTCCTTGATATACAATTGTAGGCTTTAGCACTTGGACATGAAGGAATCTTCTAGGATATGTTTCTCCAAGTGAAATCTTACAGATATAGGTTTATCATCAGCATTAGCATATTAAACTTCAAGAAATTCTGAAGAGACCTTTAATTCATCATGTGCTAAATTTGAAAAAATACCTTCTCACATAATTCTTACTATCTTATGGATTAGTGTTCTATGGAGGATCAAACTATGGAATGTCCTGTTCCACAGAACACATTTATCTAGATTTCTATTTTTTTCTTGGTAAATCTCTGGATAACTTATTTTAAAAATCCTAAGTCTTTATGTACACAAATAGAGATGCACATCGTGGTTACTTTGGACACTCAGTTAAGTGTTCCAGCTAGCTAAGTTAAAAAACTTAACTATAGAGGAATGGCTAAAATTTTTGAACCCTTATTTAAAAGCATTCTACAGCACTGTCAGCTTTTAATGTGATATAACCACTAGGAAATTTGTTGGAGTACATATTTGATTCTCTAGGTCTGGACTGGGATCAGAGATTCTACATTTCTAATCAGCAACCAGATGATGCCAATGAAGCTAGTCTGTGGCACACACTCTGAGCAGCAGGATAGTTTTCTGCCTTAGTAAACATAGTAGAATAATAAAATAAAATCATTATTTTGAATAACATTGTACTTGCTGTTGATGGAACCACACGCTGAGATAGTTTAAATTTTTAAAAATACCAGCTTGTTTTCTTGATATCACCTTCCTCATGAAAGTAAAGTAAGAACTAAGGAGGAGAAAGCCCCTGCTATAGTGATATCTGTATTAGCACCTGGCATGAAGCCTGGTGCATTAGGGGTAATAAATGTTAGGTATGTTAATTTATGTGTTATAGCTTTATTGTCAGAGTTAATAACTGAACAGGTGACATTGTGATACATCTGCTAAGGAAGGAGTTAGTAACATGAAAATATTAATAATGAAATGCCATAAACTATTGCTAGTCAAACAGTACATTATGGAGAGTATTGAGGTAGAAGAATTGGATCTGTTGGACTCTACTACAGACTCAGAAAAGGCCACAGTAATATTCTGGAAGAAGATGCCAGTAAGGAAAACCTACCTAGGGAAGCGGGTACATTTGCCCCAATGTGGACACATCTTCCATGGGGAGTCTACCTAGTGGTGTAGGGACTGTCCAGAGAAGAGAAGAAGAAATTACAGATATTCTGTACTAACCCATCCATCTCCTACAAATCATGCTAAAAGAACTAAAGAGGCATTAGTTTTTCATAATTCCCCTGCTTGGACCCAGGCAATTATACCAAATGATATTTATTGACTCTCAATTACTTGTGGACAAATGTCTTGGGACATTTGCCCTAGGTATCCTTCTGCCTAAAATGATCTTCCCCCAGTTAAACATTTAGCCAACTTCTTCATCATCTTTAAATATTTGCTCACATTTCCCACGATGAGGCCCACCCTCATCACCCATTCACCCTTTATCCCTCTTAACTTTTTTTATTTGTTAACTTTTAATGATACCAGCACTATCACCTTGCATATTACCAACTTAGCAATTATATTTACTTTTTGTCTCTTCTGCTAGAACATATGCTCCTCAAAGGCAATGATCTTTGCTTTTTTTCTTGATGTGTCCTAAGCACTGGGCACATAATAGGCACTTAAAATGCAATCACTAAATTGAATGAATAAATGAGTAAATACATCAGGTACAATGTAGAATATACTGTTTCAAGTACATACAATATAGTATCTTTTAAAAATGCTGTCTGATGACCTACAAGACAGTCATCTAAATTACTAAATGACAAATCTTCTCTTTTTTTCTGCTTGGTAACTGATACATTCTGATTTTTTAGACATTTATACTAGTGGTCTGAGGCTATGGGATATACACATACACATATCTATTCACTTAAACTTACCTTGTACAAATAATGTCAGGACTGAATGTGCTCTAGGTGAAGGCACTTTTATTAGCAGTCCTTTTAGGCAGACATGCAGATAAGGAGCCTTTAGTTAGACCCTAAGGTACTATGGAATTTACAGTAATTACCTTTGACATAAGGTATTTTTAATAAAGTACAGAAACCCTGTAGTATTATTTCTCACTTTCTGACTTGTAGGACAGCAGTTATTATAATACTAGTTTTCATTTTTTAGGGCTTCCTATGTGACAGACAATATGCTAAATACTTTATCTTTTAAAAAATATGTTTAGTTACAGTGGACACAATATATATATATTTATTTATTTATTTATTTAATGTGGTGCTGAGAATCAACCCTAGTGCCTCACACATGCTAGGTAAGTGCTTTACCACTGAGCCACAAACCCAGACCAATACTTTATCTAATATGCATATTATATCTTTTTTCTCATTATGACATTATAGGGAGGAATTAAAAAAAATTTTTTAGTTGTTGATAGACCTTTATTTTATTTATTTATACACAGTGCTGGGAATCGAACTCAGTGCCTTATACATGTTGGGGAAGTGCGTTACGACTGAGCCCCAGCACCAGCCCCCGGGGAGAAATTTTATAGATGAAGAAGTTGAAGTCCAAGGGGAGAGCCTCAGTAGTTGGCATAGTGGTCATACAGCCAGAAGTAGCGGTGAAGGCATATAATCTAGATCTGTTTAAAACCTATTAAAATGAAGTCTGAGAACCAACAAGGAGCAGAAATAAAATAGAATTCTTGGAGAAATATTATGACACACCCAAACTTTAGAGCTTGATGTTGAAAGTGAATGGTGCCATACTCTCTACCTTCCACTACTTTGGAGGCAAAGCTTGGAACAGCAAGCCCATTGGCACTGCATGTATATTTCATATCTTTTCCCTGAAGTTAAAAATATGTATCTATCTTTTAAGAGCACTTTGGTTTTTCCTTTAAAAAGGAAGAAGAAAAAACCCTCAAGGTTTTAAATGCTTATTTTTCATTGTATTCTCTTCCTGTCGCTGTTTTTGAGATAGAACATGGAGTCCTTGGTAGGGAAAGGAAGGGCATGATTGTCGATCTCCATTAATAGTCCTAAGTGGTTTCTGTTGTCTGACAATTTCCAAGTTGATAGACATTTAAATACTGATGTAGTTAGATGAGCTGTTCATCCACATTTAGTGTATATTATATAAGCTCTGCAAGGCACTCTTCATATTCACATGTTGCTGTTAATGTCACATGAATTAGGTTGATATTTTAAAATTCAATCTTTTTTTCAAATAATCTTCTTGGGGTTATGCCAACAAAGAAGCAGAACCCATTCTATGAGAAGTTAATATTTTGGGGGAGGGCATGAAATCCTTGCTATGTTTGAAATTAGTTAAGATACAGAGACACACAAGAGCAGTGTCACCCACAGTACATACTAAACCCCAAACCTGTGATTTTTCAGGTGTTCAAGTTCACAATAGAGAGGAAAGCATGCGTAGATAATACTCTGTATGTCATCACTTTGAGTTCAATCCCTACTCATATAGGGATTCTTAAGAGCATTTTAAAGATCTCTCCCTCTTCATTTTTTTTTTCTTATTGCTCATTTTATTTTCCAAAATGTGATGCTACAGGAAATAATTTTACTTCATGGAGCATGAAAAAGAGTATGACTATTGAACTGTTTCACCTAACATGCTTAAAATCCTTACCCCTTAACAACAAGGAAATTAACTGTTATCCATGAGTATACTGTTTGACAATTTCATGACCTCTGTTCCTTGGACCAGCAAAACAAGGATGGAAAGACTCATCTCTTTTGTACAAGCCATCCTTGTCTGTAGGCACCATGAGTTGGCTTACTTTTACAAGCGTCTGGAGCAGAGAAGGGCCTCCGGAGGTCACGGTAGAAGCCTGGCTTACACCGCTGGCAATGCTGACCTTCTGTGTTGTGCTGACAGTTATTGCAGACACCACCACTGCGATTCCCTGATGCCTCCCACACACTGATGTCAAAGTGACAGGTATCAGCATGCCCATTGCACTTGCAGGCTGGATTAAAAAAAAAAGAAGAAGAAGAAGCAGAGGAGGAACACAAATAATTAAGCATATAGCAACAGATTCTCTTATATTCACGTAATTAAAAGTTGGATGGGAAGGCCAGATGTATAGCTCAGTTGTAGAGCACTTGCCCAGCATGTCGGAGGCCCTGGGTTTGATCTCAGCACTGCAGTAAAAAATATACAGGACAAGCTGCTTGATAATTTATTTCATTTGTAGTTTTTATGAAGAGTGTACAGTATTGAGAGCTGTCCATAGGCTGTGTGTGGACTATGTTGTACATTGTAGCCTAGTGAACAGGATAATCTGTTGTCTCGGTTACTTCCAGTGGACATTTCCTCATGTATGACTGACATTGTGAATTCCCATGTTCCACATAGCACTGGAGATGGGGTGACCTGCTATAGCAGCACAGCCCTCTGAGATGGGTGTGACCTGCCAAGATGCCAACCAACCTGCTGACTGCAAGACATCACGAAGCAAGACTCCACCCTTGAAACATTACCCCTGCCTTTGATGTACCCCCTTAAATAAACCACTGGAACCATTTTCTAATTGTTCAGCTCCAGCTTCTGTGTGGGCTGGACCTATCAGGAGCTCCCCTTTTGAAACTATCTTTCTGAGTTTGTCTTTTGTTTAACCAATTATTCTAGACTTTAATTTATCAGGTGGCTTACACCTTCCTTTGCAGGAAAAAGAACCCCCAAATGAGGCGCTGGCTGCCTTGCCAAACTACAGTACAAGAATAGAAAGAATCTAAAAATGGTATAACTGAGAACTCCAGCTTCTTCATACCTATTTATGTTCTTTATCCTTGCCTTCAATAGTTTATTTTTTTAAAGTTTCTCTTCTATCCTTCTGCCACCCCCGACAAATGTGGGCAGCTCAACTATGGTCTCTCGTGTGAATTTGTAGTGACACAAAATAAAATGCAAGACACAATTTACCTTTACACAAGCTTAAGGATGGCTTCCCTGGCTCTTGGCCTCAGGCTCCCCAAAAGGGAGAGCAAGAGAAGGTCACAAGAGGCTAATGAGACAGTGAGAGCACGTTTGGAAGTCAGCTTTTATTGGGGTGGGGGGGACACTGTTCTTAGAAAGTTCTGTCCATAAAAGGGCAGAAGGGGTAGGATTACAAGGGAACAGGTGAGTGTAACTCAACCTCAGGGGTATGCCTCCTAAGAAGACGGCCTTGCTGTGAGCTGGGTCAACACCCAAGCCACCATGAGTATGGTGATTGGTCAGAGCCTCGTGCTTCAGGACTGGAAGGCATGGTCATTCAGAGTAGCTCCCCATATCCTCCCATTTTTCATTATATATTGTTGATTAAAAATAAGTGTTAGGATATGCATGAAGTCAATAGAGTGTGGATTTGTTGTCTGGCCAGAGATGTTTTGGTTATCTTGTCAACTGGGGTTGGAATTTATTTTGCAAAGACTATTTGAGTGGTTACCTATTTCCCCGCCTCTTTGATGGTAACACTTCACTATTTCCATTCCTGCTACTTCCCAAGGTCACTTTGAGTCTCTTGATCTTACTAGGAAAAAACCAAGATTGCCAGACATTATTTGAAAATGGCAATTTATATTGCAGATCTGAGTCTGAATTTATGCTCACTCCAAAGCCTGGAAGGAAATTTCTGGTGGAAGAGAATAGCAACTTGGCCAGCAGATTGATTTCTATTTCATGAGGTCCACTCCTCAGCTGTTGTCCCTGTGGTGAGTATAAGGTAGTCTGCTATAGAAGCCTCAATCTCCTTAGAGAAGAGGCCCACAGTGTTGCTTTATGTAACAGTTTCTCAGTGGCATTTCTAAGACCATCAGTCAGTAGTACTGGGGGACACGTCTCTGTGTTCTGTGTGTACTTAGATGTACAGTAAGTTTCTGCAAAAAGGACCAGAATGGCACTCTAAGAATTTAGGAGAAATTCTTTAGATTCTCTTGATGAGTGATTTAAAATAAGAATCTAGACTTTTTCCTGGAAGCCAACTGTATGTGAAAATATTTGTGTATTGTTTTTCATTGTTTCCTTGATATGTTATGATATTTTGACTAGATTTGTATCTTTAAAAAGCATATTATGAGATAATTTAAGATTTATGCTTAGAGGAAATCCTCTACATTTCCTAGAAACAAAATAAATCAATATGATTCCAAATTATGTATGGGAAGAGACTTCTCCCAAATTTACCCACGGTAGTTGCCTTTAAATCTACTGAGTGTAAACATTACTATGGGCATGTGCATTTCTTTGAACATTTAAATTTCAAAGAGAAAAATGTTTCATAATACCATATTTTCTACTCTCCTATCTAATCTCCAATCTCAAACCCAAAGTTACTCCTAGTAAAGCAATCTCATTCTTACTGGCTTAATTTCAAATCTGATCTGTCATTTCAAGTACTGAAAAGAAGGCATTATGATATTCTGGGGGAAAAAAAACCTACGAATTCTGAGTCAGTGGACTTTGTCAAGTCTTGATTTTTTCATTTACTAACTTTGACAAGATACTTCATCTTACTGGGGGTCCATTTCCTGATCCCTGAAATAGAATTAACACCACCCACTTTTGGGGGGTTGTTTTGAGAGCTGAATTCAGAATAGATAGTTTCATGAATTATAGTTTAACATTTCTGCTATGAGAATTGCTTTTATGTCTACTCAGTTGCTCTTGTGTCTAGTAAGGTTTGTATTATATCAAATTGTCCAGGAGAGTGCTTAGGTCTCACAGAGTGTCCAAGCAGGTAGGCAACACAAGTCAGTCCTATTGGCAACTGTGCACACTGTCCTAATTCCAGTGGTTGAGTCATACTGAGCAGGGGATGGCTATGTTTGTGTAGGTTGTAGTGTCTCACCTACCACTTTATATTGTGTTTCTAGAGACAAGAAGGAGTCCACAGATAAGTTTGCTGTACAAAGGCTTTGAGCGTGGTGGGCTTGTTACTTACTTCTGCACTCCTTAGGAGCCCCTGTTCTGCCATCAGCTGCCTCCCAGGGCCGGTCATTGTACAGGGGTGCGCAGTGCTGGCAGTGGCTGCCTGCCGTGTTGTGCTTGCACATGCACTTGCCGTGGACCTACAGACAACATCGAGCAAGAGTCGTGAGCACCAGTGATGCCAGGGAAGGACATGCTCCCCACTATCCCCCGGCATTGGTTGGCTTTAGCCACGAGACAACCACTCACTAAAGAAATCAGGAACGATCCTTTCTTTAGCTTATCATGTAATTAATTCAAAATAATAAATAATATTTTTCTTGGCTATAGATCTATGACCCTAATGAGCAATTCTGATGTTCTAACTAAGCATTTAAGTAAAATTTAGATACTTTTATATTTACTTATTCTTTAACCAAAAAAATCTAGAAATATGAAATCTCATAACAAAGTGATATTAATATCAATATTTGGAGTATATATATTTCTAAGGCTTTAAAAATGCAATTATATTTAAGACTTTTTTCATATAATATATTGATTTCTTTCCATTTCATGACATATTCTTGCATAACACACATTTTAAGGCTCTCTTATGTGATGTACAATTTATTTAAATAATTACCTATTTTGTTCTTATTTAGGCTTGTAAATATTTTTATATGTTACATTTAATGCTCTAATGACTATCCGTAAATCATCGTTTCTTTTGAATGTGTTTTCTAGAAGTAAAATTGAAGGGTCAAAATATGTATATCATTAAGGCTTTGAATACATTTTGTCACAATAATTAGGCATTTTCTTTTGACCCCACAGTCAAGTACTTGAGGGTTTATTAAAATAGTATTTTTCACAGAGAAGAATACTTTAGTAGAGGCATCTGATAATTTTAATTTTCTTGGCATTATTTCACTGATAAATTAATATTTTGGATCATCCATACTATTTGCTAGTATCTAAGAATTGCCATGGTTTCCAGTACCAAGGTGTATTTATTGATACTGAAATCACAACTGTAAATGTGAAAACTGCAAAATGGCTCAGAATGGTGTTCATATATATGGAACTATCTATTTTTTCATATTTTTTTAGTTGTCAAGGGACCTTCATTTTATTTATTTATATGCAGTGCTAAGGATCGAACCACACAAGCCATGCAAGTGCTCATCCACTGAGCCACAACCCCAGCCCATGAGGGTTCTTTTTTTCCTTGACAATGTTAAGGGTAACTCAGCATAAAGGTCACAAATTATACCAATCAGTCAGCAATTTTTTTTTTAACAAGTATCTGCAAGGGACAGTCACTACGCTACACCGTTTGGTCTACACTGTCTTGGTCAGAGGGAGATAGTATAGTTAGAGAAAAGGATTTATGTAAGAAAAAATAACAAATAAATAAGTCATACATAAATGCCTAAGAAGAAAAATGATGTTGGAACTGAGAAGATGGCAGATGTCACCATGGGTTGTAGTTGTGAAGGGCTTTAGGAGAGGTGCTGGGATTTGAACCCTTGACAAACAGACAGCATTTCTAACATGTCAGAGGAAAGACACCTTCCAGGAAGAGGAGCCAGAGTGAACCATGGTGTAAGGAGAGTTTGTGAGCAAAGTTTATTTCACTGTATCCAAAATATTTTGATTGTAACAGAAGGGGAACTACTAACATGTACCAAACACTAAAATTCAACAAACTTGGAAACAGCCACATCAATACCTTGATATACTATTGCTTCAGGCACTGGAATGAATTGTCACCAATTCATTGGATGGAGTTTGAGAACATTATGTTAAACAAAATAAGCCAAACTCAGAAGGTCAAGGATCATTTGTTTTCTCTCATATGTGGAAGTTGAGGACCCTGTTTCTTTTTATACTTCCGGAGCATATATATCCCTAGTTCCAATGGTGGAGGCCCTTGGGAAGGGCACATGCGGTGTGACTGCTGTGGGCATCAAGCTCACATAATGTTCAAGTTCAGGCTTATACTCAGGGCTTAGAGACTGTCTGTGAATGAACCACATGTCTAAGAGTCATAATCTGGAAAATTTTACAGATAACATTTTGGTGACCATCTTGCCAAATTTAACTTCAGTATGTAGAAACATAACGTCCTCATACTTATGAAAATAGTTGCAGTCTTTTTTAATTCTCAGGGGTTAGCAAGGATATAGATTTTTTTTTTAAAGAGGATAGGATTGGCTCCTTGGAGTAAATTGGTATTACAAAAATCTTTGTTAATTTTCTTTCTAGAATTTTGGCTAATATTATAGATTCAGCTTATTGGTTTTGGTTTTGAAATGTCCAAGTATGCGTTGAGTGATAATAAACTGTCTTCTTGAGCCTCTCTTCTTGACTATCTCTGACATAAACAGTTAATTTATGGAGGTCCCTGGAGTTATAAAGGGTCATCATACTTCTCCATGCCCACATGCAGACAAGCTCTAAAGACAAAGCCGCACTTAAACTTGGAAAGCTGCAGGAATTCATTTGGTACTGCTCTATAAAAGTGAAGCCTTTTCATCCTAGCTCCTGGATATCTGTTTTTTTCCTGTGTATCCTCATTCATATATACTTTATATTCATATAAAGTATATATGAATGCTGAGGTCCTACTGCTGTTATTAAATCTTTTTTATTCAGTATTTGTTCTCATCATGCAAAAAATAGAAACTCTTATCAAATACTTTCTACACAGTAAGTTTCTTTAAAAGCTCTCAGTATGAGATTTCATCTCACACCAGTCAGAATGGCAATCATCGAGAACACAAAGAATAATAAGTTCTGGAGAAGATGTTGAGAAAAAGGATGATTTTTACACTGTTTGTGGGACTGTAAATTAGTACAACTACTATGGAAATCAGTATGGAGGTTACTCAAAAGACTAGGAAAGAAATCACCCTATGACCTAGCTATCCCACTTTTTGGTATTTTTTCCCTGAGGAATTAAAGTCATCATACTATTGTGATGCATAGCCATGTTGATAGCAGCACAATTCTCAATAGCTAAACTATGAAACCAGCCTAGATGTCCATCAGTGGATGAATGGATAAAGAAAATGCATGTATACACCACACAGAGTTTTATTCAATCATAAATAAAAATGAAATTATGTCATTTGCAGGAAAATGGATGGAGTTTGAGAACATTATGTTAAACAAAATAAGCCATACTCAGAAGGTCAAAGATCATTTGTTTTCTCATATGTGGAAGCTAGAGAGAAAAAAGGAAAAGAAAGGTGGGAGGCCTGGGGTATCATGAAAATTGAAGGGAGATCAGTAGGGAAAGGGACCAGTGGGAGGGAAGAGGAGAGAGAAGAGAAAATACTAGGGAATGATATTGACCAGATTGTTATATTGTGTTCATGTATGAATGTGTAACAACAAATTCTACCATTATGGACAACTATAATGCACCAATAAAAAATGTGGAAAAAAAAACAACTCAGTAAAAGCTGATGGCTCATTGTTTTACTTGTAGTACTAGATGCAGGTTTCAATCAAAATGGAGTGTTTGTAAAAACTGACAGGGTAGGAAAATTTTTCCAAGAGTTTAGTGAAGTGAAGACATGTATCTGATAGCAGTAGCACAATGAAAATTAGCAGGAAGAGCTGTTTTTGTAATTGTCTAAATCCCATGTCATAAACAAAATACAAGCAAACCATACATACAAAATACACAAATGTATGAAATATGATATGTCAATAAGAAAACAAATAACCCAATCAACAAATGGGCCAAGGACCTGAACAGACACTTCTCAGAGGAGGATATACAATCAATCAACAAGTACATGAAAAAATGCTCACCATCTCTAGCAGTCAGAGAAATGCAAATCAAAACCACCCTAAGATACCATCTCACTCCAGTAAGATTGGCAGTCATTATGAAGTCAAACAACAACAAGTGCTGGCGAGGATGTGGGGAAAAGGGTACACTTGTACATTGCTGGTGGGACTGCAAATTGGTGCGGCCAATTTGGAAAGCAGTATGGAGATTCCTGGGAAAGCTGGGAATGGAACCACCATTTGACCCAGCTATTGCCCTTCTCGGACTATTCCCTGAAGACCTTAAAAGAGCGTACTATAGGGATACTGCTACATCGATGTTCATAGCAGCACAATTCACAATAGCTAGACTGTGGAACCAACCTAGATGCCCTTCAATAGATGAATGGATTAAAAAAATGTGGCATTTATACACAATGGAGTATTACTCAGCACTAAAAAATGACAAAATCATGGAATTTGCAGGGAAATGGATGGCATTAGAGCAGATTATGCTAAGTGAAGCTAGCCAATCCCTAAAAAACAAATGCCAAATGCCTTCTTTGATATAAGGAGAGCAACTAAAAACAGAGCAGGGAGGAAGAGCATGAGAAAAAGATTAACATTAAACAGGGACGAGAGGTGGGAGGGAAAGGGAGAGAGAAGGGAAACTGCATGGAAATGGAAGGAGACCCTCATTGTTATACAAAATTACATATAAGAGGATGTGAGGGGAAAGGGAAAAAAAACAAGGGAGAGAAATGAATTACAGTAGATGAGGTAGAGAGAGAAGATGGGAGGGGAGGGGGGATAGTAGAGGATAGGAAAGATAGCAGAATACAACAGTCACTAGTATGACAATATGTAAAAATGTGGATGTGTAACCGATGTGATTCTGCAATCTGTATACGGGGTAAAAATGGGAGTTCATAACCCACTAGAATCAAATGTATGAAATATGATATGTCAAGAGCTTTGTAATGTTTTGAACAACCAATAAAAAAAAGAAATATGATATGTCAAGAACTATATAATGTTTTGAATAACTAATAATAAAAATTTTAAAAAATACATAGAAATTAATATAGAGTCAGAGCACTTATAATAAACCATCCCTCTTCCATCACTGTTGTCAAGGGAACAGGGGATTATCTGAGTAGGGCATTAGATAAAACTCTGAGGAGTATTCAGAACAAGGTCAATAAGTGCTACCTGTATAAAATGTCTAAATGCAGTCCCTGGGGTCATGTCTTGGAGGGTACACAGAGGTACACAGGAATTTCTTTAGAGAGTAAAGGCAAGGAAATAAGAACCCCAAAGGAATGTCCAAGGAACAGTCAATAAGTAAATCAGAGGTACATGTTGGAGAGATAGT